ACATTCATCTCCCATTCCTCCTCCTATCTCCTTCCAGGCCCATACTCCACCTCCCTACCCTCTCCCAACTTTATGTCCTCCTTTGTAAATAACCCACTAAGTTAAATTTGTGCTGCCCGTATATTCATGTGTGGAGGATCATCCAATGAAATATGTGTGACTGTTGTAGGATATTTCATTGCACTGGGAAACCTCAAGACTGTGTTAATAAGATTAACCTTGGGCAAAGAGGTGGAGTCAGCAACTAGTTGAGAAGTATTAACCATAGAGTACGGAAGACCCAGAAGATGGATAGAAAAAAACACAGAAAGGAATAGGGAGGGACTTAGAGTTTCCTGGTCTTCTTGGTCTGGGATCTGTAGAGAACTGAGTTTGTTGGGTCTCCAGTAAAAAGGGGGAAGGTAACTTGGTCACTCCTCCACCACTTCTTTCATCTATCATGTTTTCCCTAGGGAGTCATCTATCATGACTCCCTATTCTTTACTGATAATAGAACAACTTATATAAGAACAATGGGTGACCTATTGGAAATCATACTCTTAAATAAAGGTCTTTCAGAAGCTACCAACTATCAAAACTTTCTCAGGTAAGGGTCAAGCTTGGGGAACCTCTCCATACTACATGTATGCATAGGGGACTATTTTATGCCAGTTTTGTGCACACAAACACATTTGATGTGAGTCCAGCTGTACTTCAGGTTCAGAAGAAACAATTTTGCTCAAGTCCTCCCTGACTTCAGGCTCTTATCATCATTCCATCAATTCTTCTGCAGTGGTCTGAACCTTGAGGGGGATAAGGTCTGATATGGATGTCCCATTAGGACTGAGCACTCCACAGACACTTACTCCTGCAATTTGAACATGTGTAAGATTCTCTATTAACTGCCTTGACTGCATAGAGGAACTTCACTGTTACAGTATGAGAGCTGTACTAATCTTGGGGAAAGAATTGTTAACTTAAAGGGAAACTTGTTATTCTTGTTTAAGTTTCCTCAGCAATTAAAATATTCAATCCTTCCTCAAAGAGACTTAAGCAGGAAAATAACCAATTCAAAATAGTTTCAGGAAGTTCCTGAAAATGATAAGAATCATGAAACTCCTCCCTACTCAAGTAAGATGACAGCTGAGCATCATTCTCAGACAAACAGAGCATGCAAAGAAGACTTATAGGTAAACTGCAAGAAAGACTCTGTGACTAATATGGCTACCTGGAAGAGGGTTAGAGCAACCAAGGCACCTGAGAAGGAAAGTCTCCACCCTGTCCAGCTGCTCTTGGCTGTGCTGCATGCTCCAGGTTCCCAGGATTTGTGAGCTCTCACCAATGCTTAGTTGGGCTTTGATGAGGTAACTAACTTTGAGTCATTTATAATCCTGTAAGTAACCTGTTAACCATACTCATATAAACAACTCTAATGAAATTCATTGGTACAACAAGATGAATGGTATCCATACTTTGGTTAGTCACAGTCTTCTTGTCCTCCCCCCATTTATATTTTTTCTTGTTAGTTATACCTTTATCAACACTCCTATACCCTACATGCCTAAACCTTTCCTCATGTAAACCTCCCTACCAATTATTTTCCTTTGAACTGAGTGAGCTAACCCAGATCCAGAAAGACAAAAGTCACATTTTTTTCTCATATGTCGCTCTATCATTCATATATGTTTAACTTGAAATGCCCATAGGTTCTAAGAAAGCAAATTCTGAAAGTAGGGGTGCCAGTTTTCCTCCGGTCAAACAATGGTCAGATTGATATGATAAGAGAAATTAAAGACAATTACTTTCTTTTTAATTAATTTCTTTTTGTTGTCATTGTTTGAGGAGAAGGAAATCTCTATAGTGATTAATGCAGGGAAGACCTTGGTTGTCCTCACTACCCAAATCAGGAAAGAATGAATATCTTTTCATGTAATTCAATATTCACTAAGGAAGAATATATCCACCTACTGCCTGTGGATGGAAATGACAGAAACTAAAAAAGAGATGGCTGTTTTAAAATGTCAGATAGAGTAAGTACAATATCCAGCACACTTTAGTTGTCATATCCTGAGATATAAAGTAATGTCAATTTAAGTATATAGTGTCATAAACACAGAAACATTTCATTGTAGAATTATGAATGTATGTTTAAATAAATATATAGAGATAACATGTATTATTATTTACATATAATTGATAACACAATGCTGGCATAGTGGGTTGTATTTATGTATTAGGAATTTATATGTGCATATATATGTATAAATGTAACAGTAATTAAGAAAAAAGGGGCCATTTATTTGAGAGATAGCAAGGGGTATGAATGGGAGAAGAGGGAGTGGGAGAAAGGAAAGTGGAAATGATTTCAAAATGTAAAAACTTATACATACATAGTTAAAAATGAATTGTATATATAATGGTAATCAAAGTTTATTGATATCTGTCATTAAATGTGAGAAAACCCCATTCACTTGATGACATTAAAAGCACACACTATGTATTTTCTTTTTTGCATTTATGCTCATAGTTCACCCATGATGCTTGCACATATTAAATCTAAACACATTATAAATTGAATTGTTACCATTAACATACTTAGGTCATTAAAAACAGTATCTTGTATAGATGATACATGTATAGTAATCAGTGAGTTTTTCTTAAGCAGTTAATTTTAAAATATGTATGCATTTATTTTTAAAAGGACTATGTGAAAATGTTTCCATTTTATGCAACTTAAACATAATGTCTGCTTCTTTCTCAACTTAGTATGGTTTTATTTTTTTCCTTAAGATTGGGTCTCTGTGTAGCTTTGGAGCCTGTCCTGGCACTTTGTCTGTAGACCAAGCTGGTTTTGAATGCACAGATATCCGCCTGTCTCTACCTCCAGAGTGCTGGGATTAAAGGCATGCACCACCAATGCCAGGCTGTCAGTTTGGTTTTCAAGTGAATACTTTTCCCTTTGAGTAGTGGTTGTTCTTTCTAATTGTACAAAGTTCCTTATCCTTCAAGGTTCTTTGGAAATTTAACACCCTTTAACAAGTTTGTTTCTTTGTTAAAATATGATTTCTCCCTCTGCTAAATCTCCATGTGAATACTCTCGCTTTATTCTGCTGTGGAACTTAAAATATTCTCATTTTATTGGCATTATTGTTCTTAATATTTTTCCACTGTTATATACTTTTTGAAGATATCTCTTTTTAAATCTTAAGATATGGTGATCTTTGTTCTCATGACAATACATACAACTTCTGTGATTTCAAAGTTTTAAAATAATCATCATGATTACTTTCTTTTAAGTTAACAACCATCAAACACATAGGCACCATATTGACAGCTTGCATCATCTTTTATTTTCATGTATGGATATAGCTGGGAGACAGTTCTTGGTAATTCAATGAAAGAATAAACACATTATTAATAACATAATAATCCAGTGAAAAGTAAAATATTCCTCACTGAGAAGACTATAAAATGGTAAAAGAAAATGTCCATATTTTCAGTAGATGTATCTAAAATATTCTGTTCACAAGTGGGAAAACAGAAAATGCAAAATGTGGTAGTATGATAATAATTCATTACCTGTGCAAGTTGTAATTGGTTAGTTTAAAGCAAGGGCACTATAATCACATTAACTCACTTTGGGGTGTTTAATGTAACCATACCATATCCTGCTGTGTCTCATTACTTAAGTGAAGTTGCAATTTAGTTTTCCTGCTGACTACTCGATTGCATTTCTAGGCAAAGACAGATAGTAAGTTATATCAAATTATCCTTGTTTATCTAAAGAATGCATTGATCAATACCATATGATCTGAGGCCAGCTACTTCAATTACCTCTAATCATGCATTTGAGAAAAAGCAAATATACCCAACACTTTTACACGTTACAATACAATTTATTGCACAACACTCATCTTAAATGTTATGTTATGCTTGTCTGTATGTGGTTATATTTTTGTACCGAAAATAAATTTTCTTTCATACAATATTTTCTGATCAGGGTTTCCCTCCCTCATCTCTTCTTATATCCTCCCTAACTCCCTTTGCCTCTAAATCAACACTGTCTTTCCTTCTCTCTTAAGAAAACAAATAGCTAAATATAACAAAGAGCAATAAAACAAAAACAACAAACACACAGAAAAAGCATAAGAATCACAGAAGAAAGTCATATACAAACAAAACCTATAGAAACACAAAATTTGAAACTATACTATACAAGACAAAAAACAGTAAAATTAAAAATAATGTCCAAAAAATGAAGTACAAAACAAAGAATCTCCAAATATGTTTTGCGTTATTATTGTGTTCATCCTCTACTGCTGACCAAGAGGCCTACTTTAAAAAAATTAATTAATTTGTTACATTCCAATCCCAGTTACCCCTCTCTCCTCTTTTCCCACTCCTTCCACTGCCCCCCCACCACCTCTCGTATGATCCTTGTAGAGGGTAAGGCCTCCTCTAAGAAGTCTTCTAAGTCTGCCCCATCCTCTCATTGAGGCATGACCAAGGTTCCTCTCCATGTCCCACACCCCAGTGTCTAGGCTGAGCAAGATATCTCTCCATATAGAATGGGCTCTACTAAGTCAGTTTGTGTCTTAGTATTATATCTAGGACCCACTGCCAGTTGCTTCATATATTGTCCCAATTGCACCATTGTCACCTTTATTGAGCTAGTCTAGTTCAGTCTTATGCATGTTCCCCATTTTCCAGAATTAAGTCAGTGATCTCTCACTAGCTCAGGTAAGCTGATTCTGGAGAAAAAAAAATGATCCTGATTGAGGTAACCTAAAACCAAAAAGATAAATATAATATGTTCTGTTCACATGTGGGAAAACAGAAAATGCAAAATGTGGTAGTATGATAATAATTCATTACCTGTGCAAGTTGTAATTTGTTAGTTTAAAGCAACGGCACTATAATCACATTAACTCACTTTGGGGTGTTTAATGTAACACCCCAAATTACCAATATGGAGTCAGGTAGAAATATAAGGGTATTTAATAGGGAAAAACCTTACTTACAGAGTGACCTAGCCAGCCAGTGTGGCAGCAGTCTGTACACAAGCCCAAAAGTGAAACTGAAAGAGAGCATGCAGTCCCATCCCAGTATCACTCTATGTCACCCTGACCACGCCCTCGAAAGCATGGTCAGGCACACCTGAAGCCAGTCCCTAAGTAGGCGTGGCTACAGCTTCCCCTACAATGTACTCATTCATAAGTGGATATCAGACATAAAGCACAAAATACCCAGTCTACAATCCATAACCCCAGAGAAGCCAGAAACCTTTTCCAGCACCAGAAGCAAATGCAAAAATCTACAACTAACCAATGGGCCAAGCTCCTGGAGTACAGTCAAAGTGACAGAGGAGTGATAATATGAACAAAGGAGTCAGCGATCTACCTTGAAGTACAGTTTATACATTGGGAGAAAACTATTTTTTCCTTTAAGAGTGGTTTTTAATAGATGGTAGTATCTCCTGTCTACATTCTACTCAGTGCTGAGGTACGATGTGGCTTGAACCTGTGCAGGCACTGTGCATGCATTCATAGTCTTTATGAATTGACATGTCCTATGAGTTGTGTCTAGAAGTCACTGTTTCCTCATGGTCCTCCATCCACTCTGGCTCTGACAATCTTTCTACTTCCTCATCATTATAGTTCCCTGATCCCTGATGGTAGAGATTTGCTGATGACATCCCACTTAGGACTGAGTACTCCAAGGACTTCTACTTACATTGTTCATTTGTGGGTCTCTGCATTAGTTCCTATCTCCTGCAGAAGGAAGCTTCTCTGAAGGTGCTTTATGTGTATAGTAGAATGTTGCTAGGCGTCATTTTATTGCTATGTTCCTTCATCTAAGCAATAGTATTTGGTTTTCCCATAGATCCACAACCTATGTTGTTCAGGTTCTTCACCACCTGAGCAGTGTTGGGCATGGATTTCATCTCATTGTGTGGGACTGAAATCAAATCAAATGGTGTTTGGTTACTTCTACAATGTTTATGAGAATATCACCATGTGTGCAATGTACAAAGCTCACCATTGTAGATTGAAAGGTTTGTAGCTGGTTTGTGTTTGCCATTTCTCCTCTTGGAGCATGCAGAGTAGCTTCTAGTCCCATGGACACTCTCAATAGTGGTAAAGGCCTTAGTAATGCACTAGCTTTATTCTTTGTTCAATGAAATATGTAAGTGTTGTCTTTAGCTTTACTACCAGTTTGTGGAGAGCAGCCTTGGAAATAACCTAATTGTTTGAGGGTTTCCAGTAGAAGCCTTTGTCTTGCAACTTCATTCCTGTCACTGGAGATTTCACTTGGTAGTGAGAGGTGTCCAGCTGAGCTTTTGTCTCCCCCTTTATTTGGTGATTCCATTTTGATTTTTCATATATATATATATATATATATATATATATATATATATATAAAGAAAGCTTCTAATATAGTAAGTTTCCATATGACTCTTCAGATGGCCCCAAGTGTAATGGGTATCCTTTTAATCTTCCTTCCCTAATTCTCCCCATTGTCCTTCCCTACCTCTTCATCATATTTTCCATCCCTTGGAAGATCCTCCACTCCTGCATAGTTTCTCACTGTATATCTAACTTCTGAAGTTATATGCATTGTTGTTTTTCAAAGGCTTAAAAGCTAACATCCATGTACAAGAGAATACATAGTATATTTGTCTTTGCATGTAGGAATGAATACCTGCTTGTGCATGAACATGCATTTACACAGGGGGTAGACAGAGAGATACAGAGCCAAGCATGAAGAGCTTCATTAAGAAAGACAAATGAAAATTAAAACCATTATAAAATGCAAATTTTTAGTCTACCAAAATTAGGCACCTTTTCTGGGGAGACACAACATAAAGATCCATTTACTCCAAATAAGGAACTGACAAAAGCCAAATTAGCTATGATACCAAAGTCTAACTTGGCCAGTCAATAAGTTTATTGTGGTATTTAAAATATTGGTGGGAATTTTGCTATTGAATAGGATGAGTGAATCACAGTTATACCACCAGAGAACCCACCTCAGATGGATGACTACTCCTTGATGGAGCAATCCCAGAGCTCTCTGTATGACTTTCAGAAAGGTCAAACATTTTGGAATCTCTTCAAAGTAGTTAAACAGGTAGGCCAGTCTCTTTCTCAAAAGATATTCACTCTTTGTGTAACCATGGGGAGGAATCCTGTATAAGTATTTAGTGTCATGAATTTTTTGAGACTTATAAATTGGGCATATCCTGAGTGTTGTGTGCCTGTCCATTATGGAATATTTCAAGTTTGAGCATATTGCTATAAACACCTCATGACTGTAACTGCTAGTGAAATAAGAATGGGTACTGTTAGAGATGAGCTAGAAGGTATTGTCTTTGTGACAAATATCTAATAGTTTTGAAGTTGTGAGCCATTTATATCTCAGTGATGTCATTCAAGGGATAGTCTTATGTGAATACAAAGAGAACATTCAGAACAAAGTGTTTTGTTAGACTGTTTATAATAGTCCCTGGAAATTTTCCTTGACAGTGATCTGCCTAAGCTAACTGTAGATTATTTATTCAATTATGCATTATATAACAGGTAACTTGTATGAATAAGACCTACTCTACCAACATCAACATTCAAACTGGCAGTAACAGAATATTAGAAAGGAAAATAGCTAACACATATGCATATGGAGTTATATCCCAATAATATGCTTATAAATATTTTGAAAAACAAGAAGTGATAACTGCTGAGATTGGACATATACATAGGATCCCTTGTGATACAATCTAAGAGAATTCTAGAAAGTTTCATTCCCTGTGCTTTTACCCCTGTTAAGTATGGGGTTTATGATGCAATTCTTTTCAAATGCATTGGAGATGACAAAACTCATGCTCTACCACTTTAGAGATCAAGTTACAAAATAATGATTGTTTCCATGTTGAGAACCCTATGTTGTACTCTTGTTTCTCTATGATGAGGAAACTAACTAGTATATCAAGAGCTGCCCTGTGGAGAGGAGCATATGATCAGTAACCGAGAGAAGACTCCAGGTAGCAATCACTGAAAAGTGAGAAACTGAACTCTGGCAATAACTGTATAATAGCTTACAAGCCTCTCCACCTGTAGTCCACCCATCACATGAGACTAGGGCAGTATGCATTACATGATTCCTTCATGACAGTGCTGTAAGTGATCTTGAATAGTGGTACTTAAACAAGATGTATCTGCACTCCACAGAATGAAAACGTAATAGATGTCTTCTGTTCTGAACCACTGATTTTTCAGAGTAATTTTTTAAGCCTCAAAGATAATTAATACAGGAAGGATGAACAACTGACAAAAACTGTGTGGCTGCATGGAAAATTCAGTACATTATTACAAGTGCCCTCCTATTTCTTTGTCTCTAGATTGGCTTTGCTATGCTCTGCCGTTTAATCTTCTGTTGGTAAAAAATGCAGGTGCAAACTGTATAAATTAGTCCCCCATGCCTGTCAAATGCTTCTTCAGGGAAATTGTAAAGAACTCAAATACAGAAATTCATACTTTATTATAAGAAGTGAGTAGAATCTATTGAAATTCATTATAAAAATATTTAATTTATTCAAAATATTCAAAACTTATTTCAGCACTTAAGCACCACCAGTATTTAGCTATTGGACATTTTATTTTTCTGGATAAATATGCATACAAATGCATATTTCATAAGATTGCAGTTAAGGAAGTAACATCATATTTCAAATGTTTTATAAATATATTTGGAAGCTTTGAGTAGTAAAATTCAACATTAAATGTTCAAGTTCCCTTTTCTACTTCCTTGAAGTAGGCCACAGTCACATATCCAGTGGCTTCCATATTCAATAGTCTGATACCAGGGAGCATTTCTTCTGAGGAAGAATTTCTGTTTTCCTCAATTACCATAATTTTTTTCATTTTTATTACTTTTGCTTTTTGTTCTGTAAGTCATACAAACTTTTTTGATAATGATCACTATAATTGGACATGGAATTCCACTTTAGAAAAGTGCACAGCTCTCTGTGTATTAGATTTCCACCCAGAAAGACCTAACCCATTCTCATCCTCAGGTCAGAGAATAGCAGACTTGGTAGTGCTTTGTTTCAATCTTGTGTTTTTCTAAGCTTTGGTGAGGAAATAGTTAAAAACACAGGTGTCCCCTGTCCCTACTTACTATTCAAATAGTCACTGGGATCTTTCAACTGGTCTTTAGATTTTTGCTGTTTTTCCATGTGATTCATTGTAGGACAAAGATGTAGACTTCATTACAAAGAGAAATGGGAAGGGAAAAAATGCTGGCCATGTCTATTAAAAAGCAAGGATGAATTTAACTTAGATAGCCAACCATCACCCAATCATTTCCAGCTGCCCTTCTGACTCTAAAGTATGTGTCTGTGTCTATGTGTATATAAAACAGAATACTTTCATGTTGTCCAAAATACATATATGTGTATATATGTATATAATTTAAACATATATGCACATATATATCACCCATATAAGTGTGTTTATTCTGTATTAATGCTGTTATGTTGCACACTCTCTTGAGAAGGAGTTATGCCCTAACTTATTGTTTATTACCTAATTATTTTATAACTGTGAGTTTTGTTATGTCCTATTTTTCTTCATCTTGTGTTTTGATATAGAAGCCATCTGTATTGGATGGCTTCTGGTTCCATAGAACCAGAACATTTGCTTCTGATACTTCAGGTTATAATGTGAAAATAATCCTGATGTATTGTGTTGCTACTGCCATAAGTGTTTCTTCTCAGGAAGAATTAATATTCAACACTAATACAGCTCTAGAGATTACTGTATGTTAGAGTAGTGCAATTTATAGCCATAAAGATGGTTACAATTTTCAAATATAAAAAGAATACCTTGCTAAATTCAGAGTTTGCTAACTTAGTCTTGATCTACTAGTGCTAACAAAATGACCTTAAATAATAATATCATATGGTAATACCCGAGAATTTGTGCAGGGTAATGTATTTACAAAGATTCACATTTTAGGTTTTTTTTTTTTTTTTTTTTTTGCTAGTTTTTCATTTTGTTGGTCCATTT